ACTAGCTTCATGAGCACAGTGCTTATCATTTGTTTTTTAAACAGATGGTTATTCTTTTTTACAGATATCATCAGTAGTTTATCTATGCTATATGAGTAATGAAAGCAAAGGCCCTGAGATGAGATGTATCTTAGGAATACACTGGACAAAGTTTCCTAGCAGTTGGTCATTTAAAGATGCCTCTCCATAAATGTCTATTTGCCCTGCAGATTCAGTGTCCTGATAAACTGATATAAGTCATTTTAAATGGCTCACAGACTTTTATGCGTCATGCTACATAAATTCACTCCTTTCACCGCCCACAAAGCCAACGTGAGCAATAAGGCTTTGACTCTACTTTGTTGCTTCTTAGTAAAAGACAGATGAGTACAGTCAATTACACTCATGAAACTATTCAGCGAAGGCACTGACAAAAGATCATTGATTATTTCCCTCACTACCATACACTCCTGTTGTCAAAAGCTGAATGATGCTTTCTCAGTTTAATGATACAGTTGCTCCATAATCATCAAAGAACTTGGCTGTGTCCATTCACAGTCTGTCTTCTTAAAATGTATTATACTGACTGAAGTCCCCATATTGCGAGGCAGCTGTTAATACACAATAAGGGACTATATAAACTATCCAGTGTGATGGAAAACATGTCCCAGTGCTGGCATAATGGAGATTACAAGATATTGAAGAATTAGCCTAGTAGTGGATTGCTGGACCACTCAGTGAAAACAAGTGACATGAGCATCGGTTTATTCTTTAGCAGGGAAAGGGATTGTTTTGAAACTGACTTGAGGGGAACTAAAATCAGCTATTTGTGTGTTATTTTATGTAATTTGTGACATTTGTGTTTTGAGTATAGTTACTTGGCAATATGATTTTTGTTTTTCGCCTGTTCTTATTTGTATTCATGGATATTTTATTATTTTATCCTCTCAACCATATTTTCTTGCATGTGTTTCTATTTCTTCCTCTTACCTCCACCAGCTGCCCGCTCAGATGGGCTCACTGCTGGGCTCCAGTCTGGCACTGCAGTACCTGGACTGTGTACAGGATGAGTCTGCCCTCCTACGCCTCAACTTCTGGCTAGGCTACGCTCTCCACGAAGGTAAGGGAGGCGAGAAAACAACTACAAAACTGCTGTGACATCCTCTGTCAGGAAGATTCCTCCAAAGCAAAAACCTTAAGTTGAACCCTCACACATTACCTAGTTGGCATATCAAAGGGATTCTTTTAGAAAAGGGTTTAGAGAGGACTGAGGGCGGGGTTGATCTGAAATCTTGTGCTGGTTTCCTTTTTATTCCCTCAACTTTTTCACTCACTAAATACCTATTTTTCGCTTTTTTCCCCCCTTCTTTTTCTGTTTAGAATTTTTGTTCTGCGGCGATGGAGGAGCCTCCCAGAATTCAGAAGAAGCTCTGCAGTTTTTGAACAAGTTGCTGTCCACACAGCACTTTCTCCAGGTGAGCCTCACATTTCAGGCCCCAATAGCTACCTCACACCTGTCTTTCACCATTTCCTGTATCCATTAACCTGCTTTAACCTGCACTAAGAGTAATGTTTTTATGTTTTTCTCTCTACCAGGAGGGGTTTTCCAGTTCAGAGGCTTTTCTCTACAAATTTCTCAGTGTCTGGGATGGCTCTCTCCTCCGCCCACAGATCCTTGGCCTGCTGAGCAACATTCCTGTTGTCCCCAGTTCTCGTGAGTTTTGCTTTCAAACTGTGTCTTTCTCCGTATTGATTGTTCTGTCTTTGTGTCAATCTCTGTCAGACATAGACAACTGTTTTACTCCCCAACTTTGCTCTCCACTTGAATAAAATCACAGCCTCGTTCCCATGTTAGCAGGACCTGCCATATTGTGCCATATCTCAGGAATTGCATCATGGTGCCTTGAATTATGTAGCTGGTACAACTGTAACCTTCTGTCTCCCCCCGCTTTAGAAATCAGACAGCTCCTGTTTGAACCTCTCATGCAGCTCTTCTTCACATCCTCAATGTTTTTCAAGGTAGGCTTTCCTCTCAGGGGCACAGGTATAATGAGTTATCTCCTGCGTCTGTGCTTGAATTACACAACCCTCTGCTATAACTGATTGGAAAGAGACAATAGTCTTTTTTGTGTGTAATTTTTTTTAAGCCCTCATAATGGGTCATGTATTTGATTAGTGTTTTAACTACTGTATGCTTTTTCTTTTTGTCATCTGTGTGTGCGTTCAGTGTGGACTCATGGAGTGTCTAAACAATATGCTGTTGAAGTGGCTGACCTGGCACTCAGTGTACGCTCTGGAGGACGACTTGGACATCAGCCTCAACAGCCATACCTCCATGTGAGTCTCACATCTACTTCCTGCTACTTGTTTATGCCCTGAGCATAAACAAGCAATAGACCTGAAACACTTTGTGAATTTACTTGAGAGCATAAGGCTTATAGCTCTTTTAGCTTTTACTTTCGAGCCAAGAAATGCCAAAATGCCTTCTCACACCAAATCAGTTCTTACAGATGTACTAAAAGTATTGAGGTCTTGCCCCAGTTTTATTTACTGTGGGTTAGTGTAATGAAAGAATCACTCGCTGTTATAGGAGTCCCAGTTGAGTAACCAATTTTTGTTCCAAATATGAGACTTACTATTTCTATAAATTTTCCGTCACGCCATCGTAACAGAATGTTTGACCCTTTTTATTCTATGAAATAAAATCCCACACAATATGTCACATATTGTTCACTAGCAAGCAAAGCAACTAAGGCAAGACAAGTGTGTATTGATGTGTTTTTCCCTTTTGGTTTTCAGCCCATTTATCCATTAAATCCTTTAATTGAAATTTGTTTGGAGACAGAAACAGCCCCAATATCCAGTTAAATGATTTTCCGGCTTCCAAATGAAGGAGGGGGGAGTTGGTGTCGATTTAAGTTTTAATATCTGGGCTTTATCAGTATTGTCTAATCCAACAATGAACGGTGCAATAAGCGGAGAGATCCATTTTTATGCACTGCCATTTTCAAACTCACCTCTGGTATTTAGCTAGAACACAACTCTGGGATTAGAATCAAAAATCATTGATTTTGTATTTGTGTACACTTTCCCAAGTGTTTGCCTCAGTGTTTTTCCTTTGTATTGTAATGAACTAGCACATTCCTGAGTTTGGGAGATTTCTTCTGTTGTATCTGAGACCTGAGTCACCGATTGATTAATGCTTCAAGGGCAAGGGAACTGACTAACTTTTACTCTCTGCTCTGCCCTCTGTCCCAGAAACATGACTCTTTCGGGGTTCAAGGATTCAGTGATGGAGCTGGTTAACTTTGTGGGTCGGCTGGCCTCTGTGGGCCTTCAGCTTGAAGGCTGTCACTCTCTCCTCCTCAGCTTCATCCTGGACTTCTATGAGACGGTAAATGAGCTGATGCTGTTTAATGTTGCCTTGTGGGTTTGTCAACCTAGATACTACCTGTACCTGTGCTTTACTTGTGCTTCTAAATGATATAACTTTATCTAAAAATGTGTTTTGCTTATTGTTACTTCACTTCGTTGTTTGCCCTTCACTGTGCATGATGATTTATGTATTAGTTTGACACTAGAAGGCTGTTTTCACAGTCATCTTTTGAAAAAGGAAAGTGTCTCTGTGTTTACCTTAAATCTGTGTTTAACATGTATATAACAGCATAAATATTTGACATAACAGCTAGTTTGGAAACCATTCATGGTCTGATGTGTAGTGTATGTAAATGCATGTTGTATGATGTGGAAACTTGACGTGCACAAACGCTGAGTGAACTTCACAGTGAAGAAGGAGACACGCATGTATGCAGCAGTATTATTATTCAAAGTAGAGTATTTATATTTCTTTAAACAACAAAACATACAGGAAAGACATAAGTTACATAAAATATGGAAAGAATAATCAAGGATTACAAAACAGATGAGATCAGATGCATAATGTTAGCTTAATGAAATAACAGCAATAAATATAAGAAGGATTATTAAAAGAGAATGGATTAGAAATACTTAAAAATAAATGCATAAAATGAATGAATACAATCCTAAAATGGGCAACACTGATGATCACAACATATCCTAATATTCCAACCAAATAAACATTGACAGAAGGTTTGGCTTGCCTCCAATTCAGAGAGAGGTTTTAGAGGAGTGCAAGGAGATGAAGTTGTGTCTGATTTAGGAACAGAGAAAAGACGCATGTTTTTATGAGGTTTTTAGGAGTTCCCAGCTTTATTTGCAACAACAAAATTGCATATATTTGAAGACTGGATACCAAGACAGCCACATAGACATAGTTTAATAAAGCGTCTTAATGAAAGTTTCAGCTCTGCGATATATTGTACGTGGGAGTATCTTTTCACAATTAACTTTCCTCCCCCAGGTGTGTGACACGTTTCTGAAGTACGGGCTCCCCCTTGTGGTGATGCCTCCAGCTGGAGTTTTTTACCCCACCCTGTTCGCCGCTGACCCTGTTAGCGTGGACCGACTGGCCTACATCATGTACAGGTTGGGACTCTTCATCCAAGTGCAACCTGCCATAAGCTGATAACGATGCATATGCTAGCAACACCCTTAATGTGGTGTGTCATATGTTTATGTATATTTGATGACGGGACAGAACTGGAATCAAATAGCTTTGCTGTACTTAAATGTTAATGTATGATTTATGATAATGAGAGGCTAAGAGGCAATACACTTAAGCCCTCTCTTCTTTTTTTTATGTAGAACTCAAATGTCGTTTGTAACTCCAGGCTTTAATAACAGCAATCCTTCCAGCGTCGGCTAATTGACTACACCCCAGGCTTTGGAAGTAATTTTACCGAAGCTGAGCGTAAAAATGTCATGGCAAAAGAAAATTGGGACGTAATTACATTGTGTTTTTTGACAGACCATAGAGAACAAGCTGTTTTGCAGTTATTCATGATCACAGAGGTCACTGCTCTTTTCTGTTTCTTTTTTTGTTCAGGTACAAGGTGAACTTGACTTCAGCCAAGAATCAAGAAAAAGTCACAGAGGTAAAAGCAAAAAATATTTTTCTGGGTATGCACGTCTAAAAAACAGCACATTGTGGTTTGCATGGCAGCGATACTGCATACTTGATTCACTGCACCAAGTACTCGACATTAGGGCTGCAACGATTCCTCAAGTACCTCGAGTAACTCGATTACAAAAAATGTTCGTTTAATTAAATTTAAAGCTCACGTTTCGCACGGATTCTTTTTAGTGTGACACAACGTGCTTACGTCACAGGCTATGCGTCCCTTACAAAGCGGAAGAAGACAGAAGCGGGCTTTTGGTAACGTGTGTGGACAGTTTTGCTGTACAGAATGGCAGACGCCGGGACCGAAAACAGCGAAAATGAGCTGTCGAAGGTGTGGGATCATTTTAAATTAAAAATTAAGGACAACATCGTAGTGTGTATACATTGCAAGATGGAGCTGGCGTACCATAACAGCACGACTTCAATGCTGCAGCACCTCAAAAGAAAACACCCATTTGACGACATGAGCAGACGACCCGAGACAAGGTAAATTCAACATAAAATCCATGATGTGATAAACCTTAACGTTACTAACGTCGCATTAGTCCAAGGAACATTGTTGTTATTAATTATGACTAACATTAAGCAGTGGTGGCAAGTAATTAAGTACACTTACTCAAGTACTGAAATACAATTTAAGGTATTTTTACTTCACTTGAGTATTTCCAATTTGTAATACTTTAACTTCTACTCCACTACATCTCAGGCAAATATTGTACTTTTACTCAACTACAATTAATTGACAACTTACCAGTTACTTTGTAGATTTATATTATTATTACAAAACATACAGTAACCACTTCAGCACTATATATACTTCAGCTATTTGAAAGTAGCTGATCTGTGAGCGTGTAGATCTGCTATTAACAGATTAACCATACCATATGTCTACTAATTTTAGTTTGCAGTATATTGGGTCAGTAAGGCTTATTGTAGGATTAAGACATTTAGCCTTCAAAATATCTATTAAGTAATTATTTTCACCTCTTTTTCAGTAAACCATCACAGCCTCTTATGGACAAGTTTCTGCAAAAAGCACCAGCCTGCACCCCTGCACAAGCAGCTGTACTGACAGACAGCATTCTAAATATGCTGGTCACAGACATGCGCCTGCTGAGCATGGTGGAGGATGGCGGCTTTAAGGCGATGATTTCCACTTTCCATCCCAATTATGAACTTCCATCAAGAACCTTCTTCACAAAACAGTTGGACAAAAAGTATGAAGACATCAAAGACAAGATGAAGAAAGCCCTGCAAGAGACTGACAGTGTGGCACTCACAACTGATATCTGGACGAGCGTTGCAACAGAGGCTTATATTGGGGTGACGTGCCACTATCTGAAGATTTGGAAAATGGTGTCCCACTGCCTGACAACGATGCCCCTGGAAGAGAGTCACACAGCTGCAAATATTGCAGAATGGATTGATCATTCCACTGGAGAAAATCAAGGCCATCGTCCATGACAATGGTGCTAATGTCGTAGCAGCAGCGAAGATTTTGCATGAAAAGCATGGATGGGCATCGGTGAAATTTGCAGGACACACCCTCAACTTGGTCGTGCAAAACTCTGAAAAGCCAACAGGCTATCTCCAAGTGTGTGGCTGCTGCAAGAAGCCTTGTTGAACACTTTAAGAAGAGTGAACTTGCATGCACAAAGTTTAGGGTCAAGCAGAAGCAAATGGGTACCAAGGAGAACATGCTGGTGCAAGATGTCTGCACACGCTGGAACAGCACCTATGCCATGTTGTTCAGGCTGCAAGAACAGAGATGGCCAGTGACTGCTAGACTGTCTGACCCAACAGTGACCCAGAGAGGGAAACACTACCTGGATCTCAAGACTGACCAGTGGAGCCTGATTGAGGAGCTGAACCTGGTCCTTGAGCCCTTTAACTCAGCCACAGTGTTTATGAGTGGACAACAATATGTCACACTATCTGCACTTCCACATATTGTGCACAAAATTAAGAAGAAACTACAGAATCCAGATCTTGAGTCGCCACCTGTGAAGTCATTCCAGGCTCATGCGACAGAACAAGTCACAGAAAGATGGACAGACTTAACGGAGTTCAAACCTGAATCTCCAAACATCACCCTGCTTGCTGCTGCTCTGGATCCCAGGTTTCGAAAACTGAAGTTCTTGCCTGCTGACCAAGCATTCAGTGTCAAAAGCACAGTACAAACCATGGCGGCACTTGCTGCCAAACAGCAAGTGAGGCCCACTGCAAGTGGAAATGGAGCATCCAGCACACCAGAGGACTCACCACCAGCAGCACATGGTGGCAAGATGCCCACATCGTTACTTGACTACTTGACTCCACCACCAGTGAAGAACAAGATGAGGAGCAGCTGTCAAATGAAGCTGTACAGAAGGAGGTAAGTACAAATAATTTTGGTTTTCTTTAACAATTTTCACAATAAGGCAGTACACATAATTTAAATTGTACTACTGAAACAGAAAATACAAAATATAAATAAACAAAACACATTTTTGATAGTTTGTTCTTTGTTGTCAAACTATACCACAGGTCTTGATGTATTATTTTGGAGAACAGCCCCTGCCCAAGAACAATAATCCGCTGACATGGTGGAAAGCAAATGCACCACGCTATCCAACACTGGCCAAGCTGGCAAAGTCCCTGCTGTGTATTGTGTATCCACACCATCAGAGCGTTTGTTTTAAGCAGCAGGTAACATTGCTTCAAAGAAGAGGGCAAGCCTCAGCCCTGAGCGTGTAGATATGCTCACCTTCCTTCACTGCAACCACGTGCTCCTAATGGCTTGCACACACAGGTCAGGAGAGACTGTAAAGGGGGTGTAAGACTCTTGTTCCAAGTCCCGGTCCACAGCCAAGCATTTCTGTTGAGACGTATGGGTTCTGATTCTGAATGTGAAGTTGCACAATTTAAAGGCAGTGTTTAAGAATATGTATTTTTTTATTTTATTATTGATACTTAGAAAAGATAAGTGGGAAACAATGTTATTTATTTTTACTTAATTTTATGTCTCAGGAAATGTTAAGTTTGAAGTAATTTTATTTATTTTTATTGGAAATTTTGACTGAAACGGTTTACTACTTTGCATAATATGTATAATAAATAAATGTCAATTTTTCTTGAAAAGGAAACAAATTGGTTGTTATTATTGAGTGATCTGTCTTGTTTTATATTGTATATTTATAATTGGGCTTTAATTAAGCAAAAGTATGTTTTATCCGATTACCCGATTAATCGATGGAATATTCAATAGAATACTCTATTACCAAAATATTCGATAGCTGCAGCCCTACTCGACATACATTGTGGAGGAAATCGTTTTTTATCAACAGTGATTTAATTTGAAGTGCTAATTTAACTGTTAACTCAAACCATGGTTTTTGAATGCTTTTCTTGTGATTGCATTTACATTTTAGGCATTTAGCTGCTGCTCTCTTCCAGAAGTGACTCTCTGTATGTTTTGATTCATGGTGGTAGTTTATATAGATTTTACATCTCTCAGTCCAGCTCTTTAGGAATTCACAAGCATCCACCGACAGCTGATAACCTTTTAATACCCTCTCAGATGAGGACTTAAAAAGTTGTTGATTTTAATACATCTGCCACTGCGAGATGTGAAGTACATTTCAAGCAGCCAGTATGCTGAAAATGTCAGTGGCACTTTTTATTAAGAAAAATATACTTGGAAAATGGCATGCAAATGAATCGGCACAACAAACAACAGATATGAAACTGCAGATATGTAGAGTGTTTTAGTTGGATTCTTTGTTTCTTCTCATTACGATTTTGATTTCCCTTTTTTTTTTTTAGCAGGCCTTTCACATCAGCCGTCAGACGTTTCGTGAGTTCAACCACTACGTTGTCGTCATGGTCAACTGCCTGTGGAACTCCAAAATGTTTCAACCCGGCATGGATGTACAGCTGGGGGAGGAGCTGCTGCTCAAGAGCAACGTACCAGAATACTGGACGAGCTTCGACCTCATCCACCACCCCGCCTTCCTGAGCTACGCTGTCGACTTTCACCAGAGGGTGAGTGTAGGCCACTGAGGATGTCTTTATTTGTGTCTTACAAAGATATTTGGGTAGGATCCTACCTGCTGCAGACCACACAACACATGTACCTTTCAAACAAAAGCTCTTGCTTTTTTTTTCTTCTTTCCAAACTAAGAGACCAGTGATGGATCAGTGTGCAGTCAGTCTGTACAGTTTGGTTAATAGACTTGCAGGCAAGACAAGGAGACAAATGTGGTATTAATGTATCTTTCATGGAAGATACATTAATACAGAAGGACATTTTATTATTAATGAGTGATGCATGAGACATGGTTTTTATCATGTTTAATAATACACGTACCTTTTTTTGGTTCTGCAACATCCAGCAGTGATCTTGTGAGATTTAGCCGGGTGGGCTGACGATGAATAATAATGTTCTCTCTTTATCAGTGCTGGCCAGGGAGGAAGGACATGGACCTCAACTCCATAAAGGTACGAAGGGCCTCCTTTTCATATCTGAATTTATAATAGTGTTCTCATGTAGTTTGATGTGCATCAGTCATATTTCAGAGAGTGCTTTGATCATATAAATCTTCAGATGTCTGACGGGGTGTGTTTCTGTGTGTGTGTTTCAGCATTCCAAGCCATGGAGCTGGTACCTGGAGTATTTGTTCACTCAGGGTTATGATGGCCTTAAACAGTTTGTTCAGAGCAATATCAGCCGGCAGCTAACAGCAGGCGACGGGCAGGACAACAGCCTGTCCACGCAGCAGAGGTAGATGCTCAACTCATTGGAGAAGAAAAACAACAACCAATTTTTTTAAAAGACTTGTACATATTTCATCTCGTGTCTTCCAAGCAAACTACTTGCAAGCGATCTGAGTATCTTTTTATGTATATAGATTTATCTATGTTTATTGTGTATTCTTACCTTTGGTATTGTCCATTGAGCAGTAATAGACCATAACGCCCTGGCGGCCATTTGCCGTAAGCAGTGTCAGTAGTAGGTTTAAGTTCAGTGAATGCAAGTTCAACAGAGAAAATTGTATTTTAATTGCTAAAAACCCTGAAAGGGTATCAGTGTAATGCACATTCATCCCTCAGGAAGGTGAGAAATATCCACAAAATAATTTACGTCACAGAAATAAAACACTGTAGGACTGAAGATTTGACATTTTGATAGCAAACTACAGAATAAGAACTAGTTTAATTTATTTTTCAGTATTTTCTGTCATTCTTTGTTAAATGTCATCACATCGACCTTCAACCAGCAACTACATTGAAAATGCATTTTGCTTTAGCTTAGCGTGTTGTTTTTGTGTTTGTGAATTCTTGTACAGCTTGCCATATGCAAAACCTGACTCTTGCACATTGTTGAAAATAAATAAGTGTAAGACTTTTACTTTAGAAGCAAATAAAATCATTCTGTTTTGTTTTAATAACGTTGCATATGTCACAGTCTACAAGGCAAGTGTCTTGGTCTCGTGCCCTAATGTGGACCTGCCTCTATCAGATGGCATCAGTTGCTTGAGAATCTGTTCTATGGATTAGGTATTTTTATGCTTTGCAGTCAGTCGCTTTGCCAGCAGGGAAAACAAAAGGCATGTTGCTTTAATGGAGGGACCCAAAAGGGAGGTTCAGGGACCTGGACAGGTACCCAAAAATAAATAATAGTGCACTGTCACTGTTTTAGGGCTGCAACTCAACAGTAGTTTCATCAGTCATGATAAGCATATGAAACGGCACATATTCACACGTGAAAGCAGGAACCAGACTAACTACTTAAACCTATTATCAGAATTGTTGATTACATTTTCTGACTAATTGATGAATTGTTTCTGCTCTCCATCATTTGTAAAACTTAGTTTCAGTGCAATAATATTCATTAATTCCTCGTTTTTTTGTCTTCTCATCTCTGTGGTGTCTTAATAAGAATAATGTTGATAATTATGACTTCACCATAAAAGGACAAATTTGGACAGCAGAGCTTTATTTTAACGTGCTGTAGGCTCGATTGAAGTCTTCAAGCCACTGTCGAAAATGATAAAGAGTTGAAAAGAAGATGTGCTCTCTCATCTCATCTCTCAGGTTTTTGTCCTCCCCCCTCCCTCCCCTCTGCTGCTACTCCAGAGCCTCCTTCCTGCAGCTCTCTCTAAACGCACCTCGGAAGTTTTCTGTCACTGTTTGGTTTTATTCCAACTCTGGGTCTCCGAGATATGATGATATTGTTGTGTAGGGATGAAACCCCGGGCTCGTGTTGTGTGGCGCTGATGTGAGCGAGCGCAGGAGCCACGTTAAAGGAAAGCAGCCCGCTGATGTCAGAGGCACAGACTCCGCCGCCGGTACAGCGCTGCGCCGCTCCGCCGTTTCAAATCTCCATCCGCGCTGCTGCTCTCCTCACTTTTCTCCAGCTCATGTCTCGACTGCATTCAGGGGGAGTAGCTTATTTCAACCTCTTCGCCAAAACATTCAGCTTGAGCTGTGTCAGACCTACCGGAGCCAAATCCTTGCCTTAGGGAACAGAGAGGTAAGATTGTTTGAAGGCTGCTTCTGTTTTTAAAAAGTGTTTCCTGCTGGATATGTGTGTTTTTTTTTTTTTTTGATTGAAGCCGGTTAACCTCACATCCAGGGGCACACAGAGGAAACATGGTGCGACAATGTGTCAGGCTTCTTAAAACAAGCCTTTGGGGTCACTCCTGTGCGCGTTGAGGTGGAGATTGGCTGTTGTGCTGCAGTTAAGATACTGTGCGTCTTCCTGGGCACAGTTTATATGGCAGCTGGATCTTTCCTCCAACACGGACGACATCCGCGGTGATGGATGAGGGTTTGCCTGATTGTGGCCGGTGGAGCTGACAGAACAAAAGGTGCCCAACTATAGGACGCTTTGGCAATCATTGAGATGAAGCCTCTGTTATGTTCGCGTTACAGTTCTTCCTGTTGGTTATTCTGAACAACATGCAGACCACACTGTTTTCATTCACAAGTAGCCTACATTTACCCACACTGATCAAGTGTGCGCTTGTTTTGTGGAGCCGAGGGGGGGTCGGGTTGGGGGGACAAAACCCCCTGCCATATCTCCCCCTCTGCAAGTTTCCCCACAAGTGTCACTTCCTTCATTTAAAAAAAAAAAAAAAAAAGGGGGGCATTTTTTTTGCGGGCTTTTATGCCTCACCAGTTTGAATGGGTGGAGGCTGACGTGTGATGGCAGACTGAGGTGTTGAGCCGGATTTGAACTCTGGATGTCGTGAGTAATTATGGTTACAATTACACGGTGTGCGTCTTAAGCCCCGGGACGCAACATGGGATGATTTAGGGGAAATATTTTTGGAGGGAGGAGTAATCCTGCTTCTGTGGACCTGAGAGCTATATTTGAATTCAAATGTTCATATAAGAGTACCCCCCCCATTAACTAAAACATCCCATCTGAACGTGTATTAACTCCACTTGTGACTGACAGCTGTTGACGGCAGACAGCAATGAAAATAAAGTTTCTTTTCTGATATTGTAAAACGTTTTGTGCATCATGTTTGCAAACTTGGCTTATATTTTCAGCAATTTTGCTGTTTTTTCCCCATCTAATATTCAAATATGTGCACATCCCTCATGTTGATGTAGTTAATTAATAACTGATTGCCATTTTCACGGCTGGACATAGAGCTGTGACGAATGATTACAACAACTCATCTGTCTAAATATATCAGCTCAACATGTGAGTTGTACATTTGTCACTGTTGTTGTGTCCACACACTGACCGTGTGTTCATTTTTAAGGAATCAATCAAATACAAAGACAAAAATTCCCTTTATAATAAAAATTTAATCATCTTGGTTTTGAACATCAAAAGCAATCCTCTGTACCAGGCTTCTTTTGTATTCTTTCGTATTCTTTCATCTCTGATCATAAAGCCTGGTAATTCTTGGCATTCATGGCTCACTCCAGGATGAAATTGAAGGTCTTTGGAAGCCTTAAATGGTTTATTTTGGTTAAAAAATAAGCTGAATAATGTTTCCTTCCCAAAGGGGACATCCTTCCTCACAGAGAAATTCCTCTGAAAATGACTTTTATGTTGTCATTCTGCCGGACCTTTCAGCGTTATCCATCTGTATTCATTTAAAATAGCTTCAAGTAATTTTCATGGACAGTAATCTTCCTGCACCTACGCTGAAAGATCATTTTCCTCAGAACCCCGAAGCCTAACAGGAGCACATTTGAATTTTCTTCAGGCAATCGTATATGATGTGATGATTGGACGTCTTTTGATCTCAAAGACTGATGCAAAACATGTGAAAATGTAAAAGTAAGAGGAATAATTCTGCAGATAGTGAGTTTGATAATGGATAATAATGAGTAATTTACGTTGCAATAACCATAGCAGCTTACATATTATGTGTTGCTCTTTGTAACCAGATTTGTCAGCGGGAAACTGTTTCTTAAGGCTCCACGCAGTAATGAAATATAATTGTGAAAGATGCTAAGTTAAAAGGATTAGGAGGATGTTCTATTGTCACCGCCTCTCTCCATCTACATGCCTGCTGGTCATGTTTTATGTTATGCATTTTCAACACTCTCCCTCCAGCTGTGTTTTGGAGAATGTAGATTAAATCAAACATTAAATCGTACAGCATCATCCCATTTTAATGTCCTTTATTTTTTCCTTAAGATGACAGTGCCTCTATCACTTGTATCACATGATGTTGAGGCAGTGGTTCCAACCCTTTTTTTCATCGGATGTACCCTCACAGCCCCATCAGGCGCACTAAATTACCTCATTGACACCAATCATCATGCTCCAGCTGTGTTGATTTAAATT